TGGTGGGTCTCGATGTGACATATATCTTCGGTTATGTTCGAGCGAAGATCCCTCCGGGACAAGGATACGATGGTCAGGCGATTCTGAGGTTAGGCATTGGATGCTCTGAAGCACACATAAGGAGTGTGATGGCTTATAATCGGATCAGCTACGATTTGTATGGTTCACACGAGTCTCCTTTCTATGGTTTCTCGCCCTCTAATATCATAGCTGTGGACTACTTACCTATTCATGGTACACTCAGTAATATTGCTCACCTTGATGAGATGGACATTATCGTTATGAGAGAGTTCATAGCAGCGAATGGAGAGGTTCTTTTCGAAGTCGACAGTATTGGTCTTGTGATTGTTACAGATGTTTATGTTCTCATATGAGTTTACTACTGCACATACTCGATATATAAAGTATTCTCGTTCTCGGGTACACGGCGATTTGATGCCAACCAACGGTAGTATACCATCTGTACTTTTTGCGAGTGTTTTATACCGTTTCAATAACCTTTCTGCTATTTGCTCGTCATTGTGTTATCTCGAGGACGTGGATTCACTTGTTGCTCTCGGGCAGAAGCAACGATACTCTTTCGCATCCACCATAGGGTCAATTGAGTAGCTGCTCTTTCTCTTGGGTCGCTGTATGGGGAGATAAGTCTACTTGAGTTGTAAGTCTCCTTGCTGAACAGTTTGAGTTTAACTGAGTTCGAGATAGGACTGCGTAAGCTGTCTCGGTTGGCTCTATCACAATCTTTTTGGTTTTTAGGGTTAGTAAAACCAAAGGTTAATTTGACCTGGTATTGGCATTTTATTCGTTATAATATAACGACGATGCTAGGCTGAAATTGAGCTGTAGGATATGGGGGAATCAGTATCACTCACGCCTGAAAACACAAACATTGAGCGAAATGCAGTCTAGAACTGACGATGATCAGGATATGATTGCTATACCTGCGGTGTGGGATATTGTTATAGTGGGTTGTGCTTAGTGGGGATGGTGGAGTAAACAGAGTTTATCGATGAATTTATGAGGCTGGGGGTAGATGCGTTGTCGTCGATGGAGGAGCCTGTGACGGTAACCAATAGAGGATCGTCATGGAAGATACACAATAGCTCGTTAGGTTTATTCAGTTTATTTATCAATGTTGCTTTTCAACTCGACCACCAGCAGCAGCATTATCCGTCCCGTTCTCTCCTGTTCAAGATTCCTCCATGTATCCCAACAGATCTCCCTCGACCCTATCGAGACTATGGGAATCATAACGGCAGCTGCGAGGTAG